GAAGTGCAGGGGACGGTGTTGGTCATCGTAGAACTTAAGCGGGGTGTCAATCTTGACGTAGATAGGTCTCTTCTCCACACTACCGAAAGAGCTGCCCATAAAGCTATAGTTCCAGACGTTATCCTCGGGCACAAGGAAATAGCCGCGGATCTTGTCACTGAGGAGCAGCTGACACTTCTCGCCCATGCTGGTGGAGAAGCCTTGGGGCTGATCCGAGGTTGTGTCCTTGTTCTCTGCGCCCCACTTGTAGCCCGCCGGAGTAAGACCCCAGGCGGCAAGCGAAACGGACCCAGGAGTGAAAGAGACGGTCATGGTCACGGTCCTCTTATCCCAGGAAGGATGAGCATTCATGAGACGTGCGTGATGCGTGACATCTGCCGCAGACATGTACGGCGGCTCATTGCCAGACACTGTATGGATGATACCGAGCGGCTCCAAGTTTTGGAGATAGTCGTGCTGCGGCAACTGGTGTGGCAGCTGGACGTCCCGGGTATTACCCACTTGTGGAATCATGACAATGGTGCGGACCTCCTTGACTTGATCATTGTCTGGGGGAGAGCTACCGTAAATGTAACCCGTGACCTGCACTCGGAGATCCGCGATGGTGATGAATCGCTTGAGGACGTTCTTAGGCATGATGTAGGTGTAGCCTTCGTCCCGAATGTCGTCAGAGGAGACATAGATGTTGTTGGACCTCGTTCGGAGGTTGGAGGTCGCGATCGCACGAGTACGCCACTCTGTCTTAGAAGCAAATGATTGCTGTTCGTACTGAGACGTAGTGACGACGAGGATGTCTTCACCACGAGCGTTCTGAGTCTTGGTCGTCACAGCAGTGAGCTGCTTCTGCTCTTCTTGCTGCTTCTCGATCTCCGCCGCCTGCTGTCGCTGAAGGGAAGGCGCACTAATCTCCATACCCAGAATGATATCACGAACTTCGCTACTGGTCAAGCTCTGCACGTTGACGTTGTTCTTCTTGCCATAGTCGTTCAAGATCAGATCACGCAATTGCACTTCGACCTTGATCCAGTCCTCATCGGACAGGGATGGCCAGATGTGGTGTTCTTGAGTGATAACGGTCTTATCGGGCCGAAGAATAATCTTGGCTTTGTCGATATTGACGTGAAGAGCCCGAAGAATGAGGATGAGTCGAGAAAAGGCAGTGTACGGGGAGATAGACTTGAGCCACTCATCATACAAGTTGAAGAGTACCATCTGAGGCTCGGTTGCACGGAGAATCATATCGGCCAATTTCTCGACCTTCATGGCGGCCTGGAAGGGCAGCTGGAGCTCAGAGGCACGAATGGAGATGTTAGGGAAATCGAGCAGGTGGACCTCGAGAGGGTCAAGAAGACCCTTACGGGTGACAATGAGCTGCTTCGGTTGCTCTTCGACAGGGAGAGATCGAATGAGAGCTGCAACTTCCTCGGCCGTCTTCCACTTGGCCAACTGCCCCAGACGCTTTTGGCCTGCCCAGACACTGGTGTGGATGATCTTCAGGAACAATTGTCCAGTCCGAGGGTTGAAGATAAAGATTGCACCGTTAATGGGCTTTGTGGTCAAGTTACCCTCAAAGGTCTTGTGGATCGTGACGCGGTAGACGTTAGTGTCATCGATGAAGAGCTGGATCTGTGGGCTGAAGAGCTCGGAGTAGTTCTGAGAATTGAGGAACTCCTGGCTGCTCTCCGAGGCATACAGCTGGAGACCCTTGCGGATACGCTCACGCAAGACATACAAAGCTGGGTTAGCTTTCATGATCTTAGCCATAGCCTGCTGAACCAGAGTCTTGAGGCCTGGGAAGTACTGTCCGTAAGCCGAGAAGAGGTTGTATGCAAGATCAACACCAATCATCAATCCAGTGGCGGAAGGATAGATACTCATGCTGTCCGTGGTGTAGTCGAGGTACTTAGCACGAACGTAGCGCTCAATGTCGTGTGAATCGTAGTCACCATATCTAAGCTGCACGTCGATCCAGAACTTGTTTGTCGTGGTTGGCTCGTAAACGTCCTTAGTATCGAATACAAGGGAAGGTCGGGTGACATTCCATTTGTTCGTGGCGAAGAGTAGGATATCCGCACAAGAGCTGTTCATCTTGTAAGATTTACGTGGATGAATAGTCTCTTTTTGAACGGCCTCGATGCCAAGCTGTTCCAACTCCTGATCCAGGACTTGACACAGGTCCATAACCACAGATTCGTGGATCTTCTGCCACAAATGGGCACGGAAAATCTGAATCAACGAGATTTTCAGGGTGGGAATCTTGCCGTGCAAGAAGATACCGGTCAAATCAAGTTGTACCTGGAAACCAACGTAGACATTGGCGCGGTTGATGGTCGGCGACCACCAGAGAGTGAATCGACGGTTGGGAATCTGGTTCAAACCGGACCGCTGAGCGTTGGTGAGCTTCTTGAACTTCATACTCTCTTCGAAACCACTGTTGTGTAGGACAAGGTGGTCATGACGCAGGTAAAGCTGATCTTTGTCGACTCGGAAACCAGCCCACTCTGTCTTCTCAGATTCGAGGCTAATGTCTTCGACTTTGAAACTGTGGATTTGAGGAGCTGAACCTTCGGCGCTCTTCTCAGCTTTACGAGATGTAAAGGCACTGTACAGGCTTCTCTCCTCGGTAGAAAGGGCAGCGAACTCGGCAGCAGTGATCTCCACCGTTTGCCTCTTCGCACTCTTGGGACCCTCCTCTCGATAAAGCACCAGAATATGATTCGGTGTCACCACAAGATCTTCTTTCTCACCGCCGATCTTGACGCGGTACAGGTGGTCGATGCCATTCACTATGTTGAATGCACGGCGAGGCTCTCCGTCGGGACCCAGAAGTAGGTCACCTTCGCGCACGTCCTCGACATTGATCTCGGTTCCATCGCATCGCAAGAGACGGGTTCCCTTGGCGAGACACGCTTTCTCCCAGAACAGACCTTCCCAGGATGGGAAAGCTGTTGCCTTGAACAAGGTGTGCTCGAGAATTGTTTCAACACCACCCAACGCTTGGATAACATCAGTGCGGTAGGCATTGAGATTCCAGAGTTTACCGTCGTGTCGCTGGCTAGTCCACCAGAACGGATTGCTCTTCATCAGCTGGTATTGCTTGAACTCAGCGCGGAGTCGGAATCCCTTGTCGAAGCTAAGGGTGCTTCGATCCTTCTGGAAGAGCGTGTTGATGCGGGGAAGACCACGATCCCAGCTGTCCTCTAGATCCTCCAACGTCAGGCGGCGGTTCTGCTGCTGGGCTTCCATACGCTTCTGCGAGTACTCCATCCAAACACGCTGAGAGTCAATGAACTCGGCTTCCCAGGGAATGATATATCGGAAGATATTCGGAATCAATGTTTCCTCGTCATGAGACATACCCGCTCGGAAGTGGGTGATACCAGTGTCGGTCTGCTTGGACCAGCGCTTATCACTGGTGGGGATGAGTATGTGAGATCCTGAAATCATACCAAGACCTCCAAGCTCCTTGGGGGTGTAGAAGACCGCCGGAGGGAAACGAGACGGCATCTTAGAGTTCAGACCAATCTTGACTCGAGTCTGGATCTTTGTTTCACATTTCACGATGGTATCGAGAAGGTTGACAGTCGACACAGCAGCCTCACGGTAGTAAGTGAAAAGAGCAATTAGAGCAGTGTTCCACTTATTGGCAATCTTGGTGAATGTGGTCGAACCGGACGACATAAGGATTTGTCGGATACGGTTGTTGAACTTTTGAACATCCTCTTCAGTGACCTGGAGGAAGGCATGTGCCGTACGTTCCTTGGTGGAGTTGTCGACCAGAGACCAGACACTGTCTTTGACCGAGAATTCCTCGTTCATATTCCGCATCTTGGGGAGAATGCGGACTTCGAATCCATTCATGGAGAACAGCAAGTTGGGGTTGTCCTTACTGTACACGCTGGCGAATGTATCGTCCCATTCAATGGTGGTGATGGATCTTGGGAGGCGGTTCTTCATGTCCCAGAAAACAGCACGACCAAGGTTGACATCGTGACGCATCAAGCGCATACGACAATCACGAGGCCAGCACTTTTTATTCTTGTAGCCAATGACGTTCTCGAAGTTAGGGTCAGGATTCTCGGTCAAGAACCGCTGGATCAGGTCGCGGGAGTCATCAGCCTGGAATCGGAAGAAGACCCAGATCTTGTCAACGTAACGGGTGTACAGACGGATGGGGTGCCTTGTCTCAGTAGCGCGATCTCTGAATTGCAAGAAATCGTTGGGACTTCCGGGAGGGCCGGCCATTTCACTGGCTCTCTGCAAACCAAGGAGCAACAAATCGATCATCAAACCGTAGTACTGGAACACGAAGCCCGAGAATTGGAGACCGCGAATCAGTCCATAGCTGTTGGTGTGGTTCATGTCCTTGTAGCTGAGCTGAACATTGTTCTTCGAGGTGATGTAGTCAGCCAGGTTGTGGTCCATGATCAAACGGAGCAATCGGTTCAGCAGAGTGATATCAATCTTCTCATAGACCTTGGACAGCTCAGTCTCGATCATCACGTTCGTCTCGCCTTCGGCAGTCTCCCATACATTGGACAGGTTGTTGATGCCCTGTGTCCACTTGTATGTGAGTAGAGGAGGAACCTCAGAGTCGGAGGGCTTGATCCAAGCGGGGAAGAGATGGCGCTGCTCTGCTTGGTACCAAAGATACTGATCCAAATAAGCGTCGGTGATCTTTTCGATAGGCTCAATATCGTAGACAGGATTGATGTTGTTGTAGTTATCGTTCATGTCAATCTTAACCTCCTTGAACGCTCTCTGTGTCAGGAGGAATCGCTTGATTCTCGCCAAGGTTGTCCCGGGAGAATCGTAAGCCTGTTCAATAAGAGCCAATTCCTCTCGCTGGGTTTGGTTCAGTCTGCCCTTCACAGAGTACGACTCGCGCAGCCGCTCGAGTGCAAGGATCAGGATTTTAGTGTCGTGCTTGTAGGAGACACTAGGGAAGGGAATTGGGGAGAACTTGCGAGACTCCAACCAGTGGACCATGGTGGTGTAAATTGCAACCGCCTCTTCAGAGGAAACGTAAGGGCCGTCCTTCAGATAGTTGTGCTGACGCTCTTGCTCGGACTTGAGCCAGAGACGGGTGAGTCGACCAAGGTTCTTCTTTGCGACAGTCTTGTCAACTGTGGCACCACGGCGAATTCTCTCTCGGTTGTAATGAGCGACGGAGATCCACCAGTCGGCCTTGCTTTTGACGTAGCGAAGAATGATGTTCTCAATCGGTGCGGGCAGGCCGGGAACCTTCCATGGGATGTTACTCTTCCAACATCTCCAGGCCTCTGATAGATGCTGCAAAACCACGTTGACCTTGTTTTGCTTGATACCCTCGGGCATCATGTCCATCAGATCGGCCATGACGGAAGCACGCAATTCAAGATCGAAATGAGATTCCACACGCTGCTTGGTGACCGTCTTGGCAACACCCTTGCTGTGACGACCCTCGAACTGGCGAGAAAGCAGGTTTCCAAGCCAGCGCTCAAGCAGAGGAATAATACCACGCATGAAGAAAAGCCAAACTCGCCAAGCGGGCGCCCAGAAACCACATCCGGGGCCCTTACCAACGGGGCCGGAGTTAAACCGGTAGTAGATCAAATGCTTTAGATCCTTGCAAGAACGGATCTGGTGCATAAGCTTATACTTGTACCGATACATACCGGTAAGCTGGCCCACATGGTTGAAGGCATAAAGAATACCATCAGCAAGTTGGAAGGCATCGATGTTACCTAGACGGTATTGAACTTGGGCATCGACGATGAGCTTAGTCAACCGGAGAATTTCACGCATCAAGTGGAAAGCATTTCCGAAGCGAGACTTCTTACGCTCCTTGGTGGTTAATGTCTTCACAGGCTTCAAGTTGAAGTTGTAATCAAGATGCAGGTAAGTCAAATTCTTGCGGTGAATCAGCAGGTTCAGCATGTTGAAACCCTGGCGACAAACTTGCAAACCGGCCTCAACCCAATCGATCGTTGTTTGCTGGAAGAACTTGGTCGTTTTGAGTGTCTTCATGAGATTCTGCTTGCTTTGAGCCTTGGGTGCGCCCTTGTGCAATTCGTTGAGAACGTAGGTCTTGAGCATCTTCTGGTATGAGACTCGGACTTTGACAGGCTGACCTTGTGGACAGTGCTCCAAGTACCACTGCTTGACCAACGGCACATCCTGTGCACGAACCATCTTGCCAGATCTCTTATCGAATGGGTGGGGGGCCCACCACAGGGCGATGGCGGACGCGGTGTCGGATGTGTAAAGTTCTTCGTCGTCAAAGAAGGGCTCGACCTCACCCGGAAGCTCGAATTCGTCGTCTTCATTATTGCCAGGCCCGAAAATCTTATCTTCATGGCTGACGGTGATATTTTTAGGCGCGACGGAGCGGGAGGAGATCGGGTTGATGACGGGATCGAAATAGAAAGCCGGCAGGTTAGGATCCTCGGTGCGAACGTAGACCACTTGAGGATAGGAATACCAAGAGACTTTGACGCTTCGAGGCAGGGTATTGTAAAGGAATGGGAAGGTGACCCGGTACTCAGTTCGAATCGGGGCACGGAAGATGATGCGGTCAATAGCGTTAAACTCGCTAAAATCTTCGTCATTAGGATCGATATCTTTGTACAAAGGCTCGAAACGTGGTCCACCAGGAATGGCGACGTTAAGGGCCTTGGCTGTGAAGAAGCTGTTCAAGTCAAACATGTGGTAGTAGTTTGGGTCAACAACATCACTCAGAATCTGGTGACTGAGCCGATGGAGAGTCGCCATCTGGGGAAGAGACAAATTCCACTTCTTGTAGCTCGGACCATTCACGTGGGGCGTATCGAGAAGGGGACGGTGGTCGTAGAACCACTCATAAACTGCCGCGTCTTCGACGTCATCCAGTTCCATCTGAATGGGCTCCAACGGTTCAACATCTTCAATGTTTTCGGACCACGAAAGAGGTGGTTCTTCGTCGTCAAACGGGGGGAAACGCATTCGTTTGAAGTGTCTGCGGTCACTTTTCTCCCGACGCATGCACATCCACATCGTTGCCCATTGGGCGTGGAAGACAGGCTCGATGACACGCGGTGTCTCGTTGACTAGAGTCAGGCAGCCGTTGACGTGATAAAGCACTTTAACTTCTCTTGCTGACTCCCAAGGCATGGGCATGTTTTCCAATAGCTTGAGGACGGCATGTGGCATGAACTTGAGCGCACCGAGGTAGCTCCGCTTCTCGTTGGTGAATTTCTTCTGCGAAACGTCGCCAATATCTCGGACAATCTTTCGCAGATGCTCCGGTGGCATATCAGCCTTTTGTGTTTCCACAAATCCTGCTTTGCGCTTCTCGCCGAACCGATTGCGTTGCGTGCGCAGCCACTCATTTTTCTTCTGCGCAAATTTTGCGACATTCGGGTCGGCCGGCGGCTGGTAGCCCGGGGGCGGCGGCGCCAGTGGCATAGAAGGAGGAGCTGCACCCCATCCCGGAGGTGGAGGAGGGGGGGGAGGCAAAGACGCCATGATGGTGATTGATGGATGGAACCCTCCCTCGTAGAGGTTGTGTTGGTTCCAAGTCGCGTCAAGCCAGGTTGGAGGTCATGTGTAGCAAGACCTGCAGGTAGCAAAAAAGAAATACAACTGATAGGAAAGAGCCGGGCGATGAGGAGATGGAAGATTAAGATGGAAACGCGACAAAGATAGAGATCCACGATCCCCTACGCGATGTGACTATCTCTGCTCCTTGTCCCCGTCGAACTTTGAGAAGTGGCGGCTCCGACTGGCACTATTCCGCATTGGGACTAGCGCAACCTCGCCAAATCTGCGCTAGCGTCGGCTGAAGCAGAAACCCACACAAACCCATCTCGACATATTTCACTTTGCTTCACGACAACTCCGACAACTGCCGCCCTTGACCAGTTCAAGCACAGTCAAAATGACCAACAACAGACTGCAATACGTGAGTTCTACGAGAAAACCCTGACCGGAAAATTATTGATCTGACTCCTTCTCGATTTTCAGCGCCGCCGGAACCCGTACGTTTCAAAATTCCCCAAAGACCATTTCCTCGAACGACCATGATCTATACGATGATTCGAGTAGCGGGATGGCTATCACCTTTTCGAACGAGTTATTGACGGATTTTCTTGCTTTCAATAGGTACAACACGCGGTCCAACAAGGTTCGCATCGTCAAGACCCCCGGCGGTGAGCTCCGTTACCTTCACCTGAAGAAGAAGGGAACTGCTCCCAAGTGCGGTGACTGCGGCATCAAGCTCCCCGGTGTGAGTACTCCCTCGGCGTTCCTGATGCATTTTGAACGGTTGTGTGGGATGTGTGCGATTGCGTGTGGGCCAACCGAACGACTCAAAAAAAACTCTGTCTGGGTGGACGGGTGTGCGAACGAATGGTCAACCGAAACGCTACAACGTCCATATGACCGTCTCGCACAATTTTGGGGCTGGATCAACTAACAATTTTTTTAATCAGATCCCCGCCCTCCGTCCCCGCGAGTACTCTCAGATCTCGCGCCCCAAGAAGAATGTCAGCCGTGCCTACGGTGGCTCTCGCTGCGCTGGCTGCGTCAAGGACCGCATTGTCCGTGCCTTCCTGATTGAGGAGCAGAAGATCGTCAAGAAGGTCCTCCGGGAGTCCCAGCAGAAGGCCGCCAAGCGCTAAGCGTGCTTTTTGTCGGTGTTGTCCTTTTACGGTGGAGCGAATGTTATGGGGAAAACGGCTGGGAATGGTTCTCTTAAAATATTAAAGATGAACAGGAACAGCTAGCGCGCGAGTCCAAAAAAAAAGGCTCGTGGCTAAGCAAATGAATCAATTTCATTTACCTTCATGAGAGATTCCCTGACATGTCCAATCAAATTGTCTGAAATTATCTCCGTGGTGTCTCGTACATATCGTGTCTGTTCCGGCCAGCGATCGTGGCACTCGATATCTAGCTGCGACGACTCATTTGGGTAAGTGTATGATTGGTTGGGCAATATCTTTCAGGCCAACAACATCTCTTGTTGGTCTGCACCAGGTTTAAACGCCCTCAGGCTCGGACAAAACGTAGTCACTCGTTAGAACAATGATGTTCCCTGCGTTGGCCCCCGTAGCCGAGTGTAATCTCGCCTAGCCTCCAGTCTCCAGGGCTGAAGTACACTTAGGTGTCGATCTCATTGTAGCTGCGCTAGTAGCCATCATTGCATGTACGTTCTACGCGGGATTAGGACCCCACATGGTCTAGTCAATTGATCTAGGCCTTGCTTTTACGGATGTGATCAAGCCAAGTCAGATCAACTCACAACACCCAGGATAGCCCCTAGGTGACCATTTTCCTGCAATAGAACAAGACACTATGTAACTAGCTGTGAGTCTTTATTGTGCCTGCTATCATGCTATCACGGCCCTTGTTGCACCAATGTAGGTATCTATATATTGTGACTATAGAGTAGAGCTTTGGTATTCGCTATACCGAAAGCTCATCGCCAAGCTTTAAGGCAATGGAAGATCCTGGTTAGGGTGGGGGCAAAGCAGTAAAGGCACGGAATCACAAGTCTCAATATGTAGTTCTCGCAACAAGCACCTAAAACAGTATTTCCTGTTCTGACTTGGTCGAAGTCTACCAGTAGAGCAGTGGTGTTCTTCGCTAAAGCAACTGCACCTCGTAACCTCGGAAGCATAACTGAAAGGGGCATGTATGGCCCCTTAATGGACTAATGCTAGTTATAGACGACCGTAAAACGTTGTGTTAATGTCATTGTGGGGGTCTTTTTGACCGCGGAGTTTGCCACCTCAGCAGATTGTGACCCCGACCAGTCATGCGTTAGAGTTAGAGTTAAATAACACCGCTTGTTGGCAAGGCTCTCAGACCCTTCGTATAGAGTATCTCATCTAGTTTGAGGATCTATCGCGCAGATGGTTTGTCTGCAAAAGAATCGAGAATCGTTCCCACACGTAACATGCTAGCTGGATCTGAATATATCTGCGAGGCACGGGAATTGCATTCGACAGAAAGAGTTTTTGTTGCACCCTATCGGAAGTCAATGGAAGAGAAAAATTATATCTCTATACTCCGTATAGTGCCCAAATGGCATAACTATGTGTACATATTCTTTATTGTCGGTATCTTGAACTGCTCTTTCGGGCAGGAGCTTCCTCCTGCACGTCGTTTGTGCCTTGACCTCCTCGCTGCAGATGAGATTGGTTGAAGATACACTGAATCTGTGACTAACTTATGGTCATGTCTGTCATTCTACTTAAGTCTAAGTACGACTTTTAAAGTTCAAACAAAAGTAAAATAGAGCATGATGATCGGACGATCTTGTAATTACTATCAGTCAACATAGGACATAACCTAGCGTGCGATAAAACCATAGGATCCCCTCCCTAAACGAGGTCTAGTATCTCTGCAGCATCTAGTCTACACTAGTTCAATATACAGTGAAAGAAGCCGCTAAAGGTGTACCAATAAACATCGATCCCTCTACTTCCATTGTTTTACAAAATACATAAGGCATATGTAAAGTACGTGGCCGCTGCGATTCGTTCAATTCCCGATGCTTCGAACGTCAGCCAATAGAATGAGTGGCTGGTCCAGATCCGAATGCCTGTTTTTCCTTTACTCTGAAAAAGAAAAGAGGTGAGGAATTTTCGCCGCCTCCATGACGGCTCCCGGACGTGGAGATGCGGATGACAACAGACAATGGGATCGGCCCAAGAAGCGGTCAGGCGATTGTTCTGTGTCGCGTCCTAAACCTATCCACTCTGAGGGTTAGCGCTTATCAAAGAGAGCTCGAGCGTATGCAGAATTGACAGCTGTCGAACCGGGCCGTTCCATCCCACAAACGCCCAACGGGCGAGGTTCGTGCGGTTTCTCAAACAGAAAATCAGAATATAATTGAAAAACGACTACTAATACTATATTGTATACCAAGTGCAACACTCCCTCAAAGGCTCTCAATACAACGTATACTGTGAAGAGAAAATCCCCGGTGCATCGGGATATGTCTGCAAATCCCGGATTGCAGCAGGTTGGGCAACCTATCGGCTATTAAGTACATACATATCAAGTGCCATTTACCCGCACCGATTGATGTCACGCAGATCAAAAATTGAAGAGATCTACGGAGTATGTACCCCCTTTCTCCTGTTCCCGATTTTCCTTTCCCGGATAGTCGATAGATCGAAATTGAAGGATGAACCCGGATTGGGCTTGATTTGATACATATAACGTGATCTTTTCGGGTCCGAGTTGAACAGTGGGGCCGTGCCTGACGGTGCTCGGTCTTACAATCGAGACTATTGATACTGGCTGCCTTTACCCTGCATGGAAGACCTCTCCACAAAGATCAGTGTGAAGATCTTTTTTGACGACATGTATTACGGCAATACACGTGACATATGGGTATATACATCAAAAAGAAAATCAAAGCAAAGCAAAACAAAACAAAACAAGAAATGAGAAAGAAGACCAACCTATGGAGTATATTGACCGGTGGGATGAGGTTAGGGCTTCGGAGGGACATAGCCACCATCGTTGTGGGCGCGGCTCCTCTCACTGGCTGATTGGGTTCATCGCTAGTCTAATAAGGTTCACCGTAAGAGCTCGGCTCTCTTAACAGAGGAAGCTAGCAATGCCACTATACGATTAACAGGACGTACATCCGTCGGTTGGACGGCCATCTCCACCTTCAGTATGTACATAAACAGACAGCCACTCAAAGTCTGGGTCACTAATTGAGCTGCAGACCGTCACGAGAGGATCTCATACCCTGTTTGGTTTAGGGAAGGGTCCAAGCGAACATTAGAAAAAAAAGATGTTCAGGGTTAGTGTACGCACTAAGTAGGCGGCCGTATGTAACCCCCGTATAACAGTCTGTATCCTGGAGGCAGTTAAGGTCAGATTTAATAATAATATCGAAACCGCTCCAGAATAGACCCCTTCGATTTCAACCTTCCATTTGAGAGGGATCCGAATATCTCACCCAACGTATAATAATATAAATCTTGAGATAAATGTCGGCACGGCCCGTAGGGAGCTTCGAAAGTCAACTTTAGATACTGGCATAGTCAGCCGGTTCTAAGGTTGTGAACGGCATTGCAGCTGCCACCTATATAACGGCGCACAGGCACATACATACTAGTGTCTCCTTACGTACAGCACAAAAGTTGCTATGCTGCACGCTCCACGGATGCAAGTTGCTAATACCCTAGTGATATCTTTCCTGTATAATTTACAGATGGAGAAGGTGTAACACTTACAATTCTGCAAAACAGTAATAATCCATAAAATATCCTAGGAAGCATAGGCCACGTTGTTGATGTCGCTCCTTTCACTGGTGTCATTGCCGATTTCCCCAGTACACGAGCCTGTCATAGCCACAACAATGCACTATGAAACCTTGTTAGTGCGTGGACAGACATCCTCGTGGGACATTGCGTGACTTAGAGAAGAGAATCGATAATGCAAGGTAGTGTGTTACTATGCCTCAATTATAACATATAGCATATCTACAATTGAGCTCCTATATCTTGTCTGTGATCTTCTAGCCTCGATTTACTTGGGAATACAGTCTGGTAAGAAAATAAGGTCTGTGTCCCCCAGAATCTGTTCGCTGAAAACGAGGCATCAGATTCCGTGCGCCTGGGACTACAAAAGGAGAAGTGGGGAATGACAGGGAGGCAAATATGACCATGGGAAAGGTAACATGCAGCTACCGACACTGCCGATGCCGCCAAGGATGTCCGCGTCACCCCAGCACCCTGGCCTACTGCATCGGTTAGAGTGATAGAGCGGGGTGTTGGTGGGGTTGCTCAGCGTGGCTAATTAAGGACAGTATCCGGGTGTCAAGAGAGACTAAAGAAGACTAAGAAAGCCAAGGCATGCAGCTGGTCGCTCAACAAGTTTTCCTTTTACTATGGTTGGAGGCTATTCCTGTCACTTGAGACAGCGCTGTGCAAGCATATGAAGCATTGTCAGCAGCACAGCAGGTGGTCCATGCTAAAAGAACAATGCCAATGCATCCACAGGAGTCATTGTTTATCCGGTACAGAAACCCAGGGGCTCAGTAGTAGGTGTTGAATATTTCCATTTCTTGGCATTGTTCATGCCCAAAATTACGAAGTACATTTGTAACCAAAGCCATAAAAGAAGGACACACGAGATACATGAAGCCCAAGCGAAGATCCGTTGATCACAGAGAACCATGGTTGACACTATCTCTGCCTTTGTGATAGATCTCGATCAGATCCCGACTCAAAGCTCACTACTAAGTTATGGTACACATGAAAAGAAAATATGCCTTGCTCATGCCAGAATGACTGAAAAAAAGAAACGAAATATCAAGAAAAAGCAAAGTAGATAACGACAAGTGAAAGAAAAAAGTAGATAGATCTCCTGTAGATAGATCTCCTTCGCCATGAGGCTCATTCTGTGGAACGCCTGCCAAATACATTCTGAATTCAAATAGCAAATAAATGGGACCTCAAATAACGCCATGCCTCTAGTGTGCTCAATGGCCAACGTGGTCTCCACCAATGACCTGAAAAATTGCAAGGAAAAAGGCGTGCGAATAACCAAACCCGAAAAAACTCAGCATGCAGGTCGGGTTCTTCGGGCTTTTAATCGCTGAATCGTATTCCATCCCCTCCACCACACCTCCCCCCTCCCGATTTTTTTCGTGTTATATTTCTTTTTTCAAATCCCATGCTGATGATCGACCGGGACCTTCGAGTGGGTCCTGGACCCTGTTGGAGCCCGACTCTGGAGCATACCAATCATGGTTATGGCCCCCGTCAAATGCTGGCCCTGGTTCCGTATCAACGAAGAGCGTATTGTTGCCTGGTATCATGGGGGTGCATCCGACAACAGGGCCTGTGGGGTGCTGCATGTATCTTTGCATCGCTGGAAGGCTCGCGGGACCGTATTCATGTCCTAGGCTAGGGTTCATGCTTATCATATGCTGGTGGTGATATGCTTCGGCGCGCTCGCTATGGGGACTGTTGGTGCTTCGTGATTTGACAACCTTCGTGGCATGGACCCCCTTCGACTCCGATGGCTGACGTGTGGGTCCACGATGGCCTGAGTTCGTTCCTCTCTTTTGGTGTTGGAGCTTGCGATAGCGGGTAGTCGATTGGATGCCGCCGCTGTGGATGGCTTCCGGTGTCAGCCTCCAGAAGTTCACTGCTTTTTTGCCCGGTTCAACTTCTTCCTTCACGGCCTCAAATCCCTGAAGTTGAGGGTTAGTATTGATATCAAATATAGCAGGCGTTGAATCGAACGTATCGCAACGAGGAACTGAAAGAATGGGTTATGAGAAAGTGAGAGTTACCGCGTTCATCGAGAGATTATGGCGAATACTGTTCTGCCATCCCTTCGCGTTCGGGTCTTGCGCCTTGTCTGTATTCGCTTCAAACCAGGAGTAAATGCTTTGGAGTTGAAGCTTGTTTCCTGGGGCCTCCTTCAAGGCCTGATAGATCAGAACAGAATAGGGAGGATGACCGGTACGCTCCTCTTTATTGTCACCAGTGCCTGAACGTGGAGAGAGACGGTCTCCTGTCTGAAGCGTCATTGCTGGGCTGGAAGCAGCGAGCGACTGCGGAGAGTGATAGGATGAGACTTCAGAAAGCGGCGATGGCGGGGAGTCTGGAGGGGGCTGAAAATGATCTATCTGAGGATAGTTGTATGGCTGGTCTTTGAAGACATGGGAAGGTTGCAAAAGTGACCAATCTGGGTGGCTCTCTCCAGCCTGAGGGGCCAATACCTCCAAGGGTGTGCCAGCCATGGTGGGGGTGACAGGCGAGCGGTAGGAATGATACCCATTTGGATCGCCGATGAGCTCCTGAGACGACGGGCCCAAGCCGTACGGTTCGCCATCAGCAACACGAGGAACGCTCAAACCCTGATAATAGTGAGGCATGGGAGCTAGCTGGGATCTCCATCTCGCCCACTCAGACACACTGAATTGAGGTGGCGCTTCTGGTGACAGGAGACCAGGCTTGGAATCTTGGTCTGAAATTTGTACTCTGTCGAAGTGCTGCGAATGGAATGAGAAATCCATGTTTGGGCAAGGCAAGTGACTGGGTTGGATGATAGAAGACAGGAAAATAGAAGAGAAGCAAGAAGGAGGATAAGAGAAGGCAAAAGTAAACCTTGGAAGAGGAAGAGAAAGAAGAGAGAGAGGAAGAGGAATAAGAATAAGAATAAGAATAAGAAGGGGAAAAGACCGAACGAGAGTGCAGCCTCAAAGGGTGTGTGTTCAACCTTAGAGGATTTGGAGCTGTATAATTCAATGCCAACACATCATATTCTTTCTTGTCTCTGCAAATAACCTCATGCATTCTGAGCAAAAGACGGTCTGGAGCTAAGGAATTTTTAATTTTTTCTTGTATTAAAGGTCTACTCCGTATTTCGAAAAACGCCTTTAGATGCCTAAGTCGTACAACGGACATTCATAGTACAGACAATGGCCAATGACCGGGAAGTCAAAGTGGCTGGATCTGGTGCTACAAGCTAAACGCTACATGCGACTAGAACGCATGGACTAGACCTGCTAGAGCCAGAAGGGGATGGTCAAATGGTCAAATAGTCAAATGGTCAAATGGGAACCTGCAGGGTAGAAGTCGCCATTCACATCATCGGCTTCATCCCGGGCCTTCTGGAAGTTAACCGTAAACTGGCGTGTTCTACTATTTGTCTAGTCCAATTGTTTCTTTTTTTCATAAACTGCATTCAACCAGCCGGAAGTCAGGAATACATCCTGCTCCTGCAGGCCGGGATAGTGTCACCAAAAGGATATCCCCAACGTCCCCCGTGTTGCAAGAACCCTGGTAATAGAAAAAAAAAGGGAAAATAAAACAAAAAAAGAAAGAGAGACATATAGTGCCAATACGCTAGTTCTAGCCAAGTAAATGGGGGTTTTGGCTTCCCCCTAAAAGACGATGGTGGAAAAGAAAATGACAGGGTCATAGGAAGCGGTTGGATCAAGCATCAGATATCTCCAGATATCAAGTCCGGCTTATTATGCGAAAACCTTGCGGGAAATGGGGGAAATGTTTCCAGTCCAATCAATCCAAGTCTAATCTGATTCACTAGGTATCAAGTCACTGGAAAATACACCCCCAAACATCTCCTTGCATACAATAATCCACTCTCTCCATCCCGATATGACGCCCATGTGGAAATCGTTGGTTGCGCATGTGTTACTTCCGGTAATAGATCTGAGACAACCTGTTAGTCTTATCTTGGTAAAATTCAAAAGAAAAGCGACTTACTCTTTTGAACTGGAAATGAAGTTGAAGAATACCCTGAAAGGATTACGTCAGTTGAGAAACAGGATCATTTGGTAGCACGACATACCTTGTCAAATGTACTCTTGAATCCCCTCTCTCGTTTGGCACTATAATCCCATTCTTTGTCGACGATTCGAAAGGCGAGGTCTTCGTACGGAGGTCCAGCCATAAACCGAATGAGACAGGTGTCTTCCTCGCCTGCTTCGGCGGATGACTCGCCACGCTTGCGACCATTCTCACGCTCAATCCGGTAAGTTGGGGCTTTGGTCTTGTCGATCAAGTCGGGGTAGAAGATGTTAAATTTGTAACCTTGCACAACCTTGGGTGGCGGGTTGTCATGGTCATAATGGGTCTGATTGTATTTGTTCCATTCGTAACCCATTTGGACTCGGTTGAAGTACCGCGGCTTTCGAGGCCGATGCTTACCGGCCCATTGAGGTTGCGAGCTCGTGCTCACGGCCTCTTCGCCCGTGAATATTTCCTCATTCTCGCTGACACCTTTGGCAAGCTCCCTTTCATACAGCGCTTTGGTCGCTTGCGAGAAGTCCTCGTTCGGGATGGACGAGAACCGCGTGGATACAGAGGCCGCGGGGGCATTGGTAGATGTCGGTTTCGTCACTACTGCGGATGACTTCTCTGCAGCTCGGTGCCGTAGTGGAACAAAGCCCATACGGATAATTTTCTGTCGTTCGCGGGCCTGTGCGGTTGATTAGCATGTGGATCGGGATAAGTGGGCGGAAGGCCAAAACCTTACCACTTGGTTAAGAAATGCGGATTCGTCCATGATTTCCAAGCTTTTGTCCTCCGGGCGAAGCTGAAGCATTGGATCTGGATCCAGGCCTTCAAAATCGGCATGGTCTGTTGTTTCACCTGCAATGGCCACCGGTGCAAGAGGCGCTAGTTTTTCCCTAATTGATTCGGCTTCCTGTCTTTGCTGCCTCCTCAGGTCGCGCACACGCTCATCAATAATAGCTTGATAAACATTTTTCAGACTCGCCCTGGCCTTCCATACAGTCAGACTGCGCAGTAGCTCTTCCCAGTAATCTGTATCGATCGGCTCGTTCGAGTTCAACTTCCGTTTCACTTGTACTTCGAGGTTTTGAAGCTGCTCGTAGGACTTCGGGCTTAGTAGTTTGTTGATGTCGGCAGCCACAGAATTCAATGCGCGACCCTCGGGTGTAACGGTCTTTTGACGATCTCGGCAGATGACTTTCATAGTCTGTAGGGTGGACGATGGTCAGCAGCGGTGTCTAGTAGATAGCGGGGGGGAGGGGACATTACCTGCCAGAATTCACGGTTCTTCGCATTTGTCTCAAGGTTAACAAACGTATCAATATCCTTCTCCAAGTCCCGTAGTTGGGTCTGCGATAGTCCCTCAAACACACCGTCCGGTTCCACGACATCCAGATCAGAGTCTGCTATCTCGTCATCCAAGGGATCACGCGTAGGATCGATGATGCGGAGAGTAACCGTCAGCCAGTCGATAGGTTTTGCGCGCCCTTCCTTGACTCGGATCTCTGCTTTCTTTTTGGCCTGCTTCAGCACGAACAAATCCTCCTGCGCGACCCACTCGCGCTCTTGCTGGTCTTCCTGGATCAAGTTGAGCCGGGCTTGATCGCGCATGTTGCGAGGCTGTTGTGAAGGGCCAGGCCTCTCATTGTTCCATCTGCGATCCGAGTCTTGTCGGTCGCGCCATTCTCGGTCGTCCCGACGAGGATGTCTCTGGGACTGACGCCACGAGGACGGCGATCGCGATCTGCTGCGCTTTGCGTCTGGTCGGTCTGAGTATCGTGCGGACATCGAGAAACCGTAAGGATATAACGAGGGGTAATAATTAAAGCGTAAGCGACCCGGACGTATGTAATTTGGATGTTGAAAGCGAAGTCAGAAGTTCGGGAGATCAGCGGGAAAGTCTGGCGGGCGGCAAACCTTCCCTTATCATCCAGGCAGCTATATGAGACGACTTCACAACTCCGCATTGTAAACCAACAAGTCACTCAAGCCATGCCTTCGAGATGGCAGCGTCTTCATTTATCCCAGCAGGGATTACCTCCTTTGCTCTTCCAGTATACCTGGTCCCGACGAGGTTATGAAATCCACATAACAGACCTCACCTATATCTGGTCAGAGCGGTTGCCCCATAGAGCTATCACCAAGAGAGCAGAGGAAGGTGCCACAACGATCGATCCTGGAGAGGACCCAGAACAGCTCGATGTGCTCCTGGAGAAAATTGGAGAAGCTTTACAAAAGGGCAATGAAGGCGCAATCCTAAGCAGTGGAACGCAAGCCGACTCCCTTGAAATCGCGATAACAGCCAAGCTCCCTTCCCCGTTGAAACCTCTTAAATGGTCTTTGAAGTTATCAAAGGAACCCCTGTCGTCCTTGACCATTAATCTATTGATCCCGCTGCTGAGAGAGGAAGCGGAGTGGGAGTCCCGTCAACGTTCGCTCTTGAACCAAATCAAACAAAAAGACTATGTACTTGGCAAGCTGTTTGACAAAATGGAAACAATTGGCGTTGACCTAGCGTCCGTGTTTCCTAGCGCCGCAGGATCTCGCACCTCTCGCAAGGCTATTACGCCGTCTGAGGCAGCTAAATTTGTCAAGGGCATTGCGCCGTTCGAGGAACAGACCTGGCTCGCTGAGACAGGAGTATCAGATAGGGCGGGATTAGCTACCAATTTACTCCAGGAAATCTCGGAATCCGGTGATTCTCATGATTTAGATACCTTCACCCAGTCACAAGATGAATGGTGGCATCAACTTGCGAGGCGCTCTGAAACTATTGCCAGAGAACCCTCTCCCATCGAAGAAGAAATATCCCACGATGAAGAGAGAAAAAAACCGGTTGAAACCAAGCATATTGACGAAGGAGGGGATTCAACGGCAAGCAGCGATGTCGATGAGTTTCAGGTATGCTACGACTTATTCCCCATCACAAGTAACAAGTATATTTTAACCCCGTTCATCTAGCGACAAGAAACCCCACCCAGACTAAGACCCCAACATGGAAAAGGGAAAATATCATCACCCAAGCAATCACCTAGGAAGAAAAGTCCTGTTCCGCCAGTATTGCCTTCAGAGGAAGACGAAGCCACAGCATCAGACTCCGGCTCCGATCTTGAACCAGCACCACGGCAAAGACGCATTCCCAGCGTTTCAAGGTCTCCAGAGACCGCCGCACCGCCGACAAAGACGCGAGAGGCGCCGAAAATATCAAAGGGTGGATTAGGCAAAATTGGCGGCAAGAACAAGAAAGAAGCAGAACGCCGACCCTCGCCATCTCCCTCTCCAGCCCCTTCTCCTCCAGCGCCAGTCCAGAAAGAGGCACCGAAAGTACCAAAAGCTGGATTGGGAAAAATTGGCGGCAAGGCCAAGAAAGAAACAGAGCGCCGTCCTTCGCCATCTCCATCTCCAGCCCCTTCTCCGGCGCAAGTTCGAGAGGCACCGAAAAGGCCCAAGGGGGGATTGGGTATGATAGGTGGTAAGAAAAGGCAAGCAAAAGAGCCCTCGCCCTCGCCAGCTCCTTCCCCTCCAGCACAATCCCGCCACTCTCCAAAGTCACCAGAAGAGGATGAAAGGATTAAAGAAGATCCTGCTCTTCCCATATCGTCGACACCGGCACCACCAGCAGCCAAAGCTAAACGTGCCGGGAAGCTTGGAACGATAGGCGGCAAAGCTAAAGCCAAAGCCTCCGAACCAGCTCAAGACAAGTCTCCACTACCCACATCTGAAACGGTGGCCATGTCATCCGAGAAGGCTTCACCTGCTAAACCAAAGGCTGACCGACAAGCTATTAAAAAGGAGGAGTCTCCATTGCCCACGCGACTAGCGGAGAAGGTTCCCCCCGCTCCAACTCCAGAGCCGGAGACTGAAGACCAGCGGGCTGACCGGAAGCGCAAGGAACTAAAAAGGTCGATTGAGGCTAAGGGCAAAGCTCCTGCAAAGAAGAAGCGGAGGTTTTAGACGAAGGGGAGCGGGGCTTTTTTTGTTTTGAGAATCTATTCAAGTCCTTTTCCAAGCGATCCGGCGGGATTGCTATGTGCGTGCATACAATACATTCGATCTGCATGTAGTGTGTGACTAGGGAGAAATGTGCCTGAGGACTGTACGCCATACGTATGTGCTTAAATCCGTAGATTGATTCATTGAAAGTATCGCGATTGGGGAATCAAACAGAAGTAGAAGACAAGAAAGTGAAGTGAAGACGTGAAAGTAAAAACACGCGCTAATAGTAGTACACATGGAGCGCAAGATTCAAACTCAGTCACTCGAAGGAGGACCCGTGCGAGCCGAGGCAACACTTTCCTTCTCTTGCTCATTCGGGGTAACAAGCCGCACCCTCTTAGGCGACATGGCGCCGGGCGAAACGGGCGTCGGAGAAGAAGTATTGTTTGTCGAAGTGATCGAGCCAGCACCACTGCCACCCGTGGCAGCGGCAACGCCAGCGACGCCCAACATGCCGCGGACTTTTTCGACGGCCTTGCTTTCACCCTTGGTCCAGGGATCACGCTTGACGAGCCCGACACCGGCGGAGCGACTACCAGAGCCACGACGCTTGGATTCTGCCTGCAGGGCTTGGCGGTTTTGTTCGCGACGTGGGCCAGGCCCACAGTCGTGCGAGCAGCCGGCTGTGGCACATCCACCTTCGCTGGTTGAGACGTCGACAAGCCAGGTTGTGATGCAGGCTAAATGGCCGCCATGGCCGCAGCCTTGGCACCAGGTCCAGAGGGCGGAGCCTTGGGGCCGAGGTACAGTGAAGGGCCCAAGAGTCTCGATCTCGGACGCTGGGACGGGTTCGGTGGGAACTGAGGATTGGGCCGAATGGTTTGAAGTGATGTCGGAGTCTGGGTCGGGACCCGTGACGGTAGATGAAGTGATTGATCGATTTTGCTGCTCTGAAACCCATTCTGAGGGTGGATCAAGGCTCATGCAAATAGAGCATGGTGCCTGAGGCGTGCTGCAGCGATAGCAGCGGCTGTTATCTTGGGTGGGATTTTCGAAGGGTCGCTGACATGTGTAGCAGTAGACGTTGATGAATGAATCGGTCTGAGCGTATTCGTAGACGGCAGGATATGCTGATACACAAGATAAGCGGAGCTCTGCTGCCTCGAGGTCCATCGAGTGCCGAATCAGGTGCTCATTGTAAGTTTTGAAGACCGTTTCGCATTCTTCATATGGGAGAATTTGTTCGCAGTCACGGAAAAGGACGTGCAGCTTCTGGAGAAGATGGGCTGCAGCCTGTATGTCAACCAAGCTACTGCTGCTGTGGTAATATCGGACTGATTCTTTCAAAATCGCTTCAATACCCCATGGTTTCAAGTCTGTTCCGTCTGGCGTGAGTGGGATCTGGACTCGCGAGATACCGCCCATTGTTGAAGGCATAGTGCGGGTGTCCGGTGTATCATCTGGTGGGAAAGATTGCCTCTGTCTTTCAAGGGGAGTTGATTCTGTGATCAGGGGGGGCGGGCTCGACGGGCGCTCCAGATGAAGTCGGTCAGTCTCTGAGATGACCTGGTCAAAGAGCTCATCCTCAGACTCCTCGCGTGTAGAAGCGAGAACCGATCCTCTCCTCAGCGCTGCGGCAGATTGCCCAACATCCAGAGATTTGGATGCCTCAAGTTGTCCGGTAGACGAGTACGACGCACCAATAGACTTGGAGGGGTGCGAACTGTCGGTGGACGTAGAGAACATGGGAAAGCTCTCCGAAGAATCATGTCGACTATAGCGGTCGGTACGAAGAGGCCGATTAAATTCCATTGGCGAGTCAAGAGTCAAGGGTTTCTTGGGAAATTGCTTGTAGTCACGAATCGCTGCACGCTTATCCTCCAGCTCTTGGTCATAGTCGTCCTCAGAATTTTCCTGAGGGGAGTCTGCGTGACCACGACGGCGCCAATCTGCTTTGCCAGTAATTGCCCGAGGCGCAGACCGTTGCTCTATATCCAAGTCTTCTTGCATATGGTCCCATAGGTACTTCGACGAATCAGCATCATCGGTTGATGATTGTCGTCTACGAGGCAAGGGTGTACGGTCTGATGTCCCCCAGCCATTGTGATCACTCAAGACTGATGGCGGGAGAGGGTCAATGTCGATCGCCCCATCGCCCAACGAGGGGATTTGGGAATCACTGCTCGACCACGAGTCTTTCGGGGAATCGGGCAACGGTCGCGCGAGAGGGGTGGTCATATTCGACGAGCTCTCAGCTTCGGGGACCGCTTCCATGACCCCTTTGAACAGGCGACTTTTGACTCTGTCCTGTCGACCATCATCGGGTCGTGACCTGTCTATCAAGCCTCCATCCTTGGATGACCTGTCTTTCAGACCACCTTTTGTTGGAAGATCTCTAGCTCTACGTTCGAGTTCTTGAAGAATAGCGAATTTGACAATTCTCCAAGTCTGAGCCAGTCTGGGCAGGGACATCTCATCTGCACACTCAGCGTTATGGTCCAATGACTCAATCAAAGAGTTCAGGACATCGGTCCGCGTTCTGTGTTCGCTGTGCTCATTCATCAACGGTGTATAGTGGCTTGCCAAATATCGAAAGACTGCCGGGTCGTTTGTAGCACCCGGAATACTTGTGATTATTCCCACCTGGCTAGGCATTGGGGTTGCGAGTTTGGCTAATGCTTGTTCTAGAGGGAGCACGGGTATGAAATCCACTGCCCCGGGTGGAGTACTGCCCAAGGACTTGGATGGTCGAATCGCGGCCGATTTGATATGCCGATTCCGAAGGGAAGTGGCCAAAATGGCTTCATCAAATATGTCATCTGCGGGGCTTTGACTTAATGATCTCTCACCAGTGCTGTCCTCGTCTTCTTCAGGCCGTAGAAATTCAGTGGCATTGACTCCCAGAGGACGTCGCCTGGGCCTTTGTTGACTGAACGCAACAAAGTCGCCATTGGGACTCCAGGCCACGGAGCACATCGGTCGGCGATTGACCACAGTTGGCGCATACCGAACATCGGTCTGGGTAAAGGCCCCGGTCTCGCCGACCGTCCACAAAAGATCCTTGGAGCGCCAGAGCAGATCCGAGGCGGGTGCGTCGTACCGATCGAACTCACGGAATGGAATGTGCGGGCGACGGAGATCCCAAAGGTGAACGCGTGGATCTTCTTTGTCGTAGGACGTGACAACTTGAGACGATTGCCATTCCCCCGAGGCAGGAGACTCACCGACCCAAGAAGGAGGCCTCCATCGCACATTTGTGACCGACTGGGGCGTTCGGAACTGGAAGGCAGGTTTCTGCCGTCGCTCTGCAGACGAAGAAAAGTCCCAGACCTTTACCTGGCGATCCGTGCCACCGCTGACGATGTGCTTTCCGTCTGGGTGCCAGTCGACTGCGAAGCATGGGCGATCATGAGCGGCAATTCTCATCAATGGGGCGTTGGCCTTTCGATAATCCCACATCTGGATCGCGCCGCTGTCTGAAGCAGTGGCAAATATGACTCCATCGTTAGGGGACCACCGGACGTCTCGGATGGCATCGCTGTTTCCCTGATACGAATGTTTGCTGCCGCATGTGGAAGTTCCCCGATTTGCAGACGCGGATCGCAGATCCCACATCCGAATTGTGCCATCTTGACTGCCAGACAGGAGCCAAGAAGGAAGATGAGGGTTGAAGGCAAGCCTGTGCACCTGGCGGTTGTGACCATGGAATCGACACAATTGGAGGCCGGGCCGCTGTAGGTCGTAAACCACGATCCGACCATTCGCGACTGCAGTTGCGATTATCCGGTCATAGTTGCCATGTGACCATTTTACGTCCTTCACATTCAATTGGTCCTTGTGTGGCATCGACACGCCCGCATCGTGGTGGGTAGATGCATAGCTAATGACTGCATTGCGGATATTGAATTCCTCTGACGAGCGGTCTGGCGAGACCTGGATGGTTTTGAGAATCTCCTTGCCTGCGATAACCGCATGTGTCCGCTCAGGTGAAATGTCCAAAGCCGAGATTGCGATGCCTGTTTTGTGGGTCACAGTCTGCGGTTCTCCTGGTCTTTACAGAATTATATTAGAAAACAGAAGATCCGATTGGCTCAAATGCAATTCCTCGATCATACTAGCTCCGATGACCAAATGGCGGGGGTGGTCTGCATCGAAAACAAAGAGGGAAACATGGGTAAACCAGGGAAGTAGGGTATCAGAGCGGTGTGAGAAAGCTGCAACACTTACAGTGATTTTGATCTGATCGACCGAGGACCATCCACACGACTGCTTTGGGGACTAGGTGGTCTCGAGCCCGAGAAGAAAGGTTGGGCGAATCTAGCAAGGGCATTGGCGGCGCGATTTGAGTACTTCTGTGGCGGAGGGGGAGGAGGTGGAGGGACCGGAGATCGCGAACCTGAGAGGTCCGACATCGTTTACAGCCAGGTCTCCATTGTGGCACACGACCACCGAATTGGGGAGAAAGATGCGGAGAGTTGGAGACCATCGAAATGCAAGCGGTGAGGGAAAGATCCCTGAGGCACCGACCTCGGGACGATCTATGCCTTACTGTTATCTGACAAGATTGAACATTGTTATGCACGATATAATATCACCTGGCTGTTATGCCTCACATATAGGGCAGTAGTCAGGTAGTTGCACTTCGTACTTTTCTTATGATCTATGTTGTATTTCTCGAATGCACCTTTTACCCTTTAGAAAGCCATCGGGCCTGAACACATGTTAAGAGCGGTCTAGAAGACAACAGACAACACATGAGAGAGATCAGATTGTAATATGATCTTAGGTATTTTCTCCGAGGGTAACGTGTCCAAAGACCAAAATACCTACATATATAGTACTGTCTATAAAGCAACCTTGGAAGAATGCGATTCTGATTTGTCTTACCTCGGGGCTTCGGGACGTGAGACACGAAACACATGGGGAAGCTATATCCATAGATCTTCAGAGATGACAAGATGACATAGCAATGTACGTTCATATACGAGGGTACTATGATGAGTGGCCAATCCATTGAA